AAGGGGCTCTGATGAAGTGTGCATGTAAAACCACAGGTTCTGACACACTCCCAAACCTCAAGCCCTAAAGTCCATGTGCTTTGATTCCTAAGCCCTGAACCCTCTACCCAAAAATTCAAAGGGTGGAAGGCAACCTTCAGCCCGAATCGGTAAAGACGAAACCCTAAATGCGGCCCCCCCTCCCCTAACCTTACCTTTGGCTACTAGGGGTACGGTACCTCATATTTAGGGTACCCAAAAAGGGACAATAATTGTGGCAACCACCCATGTGGTAATCTTACCTTTGGTTACTAGGGAATGGAAGAATGGTAGTAATAGTAGTTATTGTACCCCATTCCTCCTTTCCCTATTAACCAAAGGTAAGTAGCGGCCGATGGGGCGCATTGCAAACTCACTGGTTTCGTAGTTGCCGAATACAAGCTCCAAGCCCAAACTGAGCCGTTTACCATATTGAACCCTGCAGGAACCGTTAGAGGAACCCCGAATCCCTTAAGCGAATTAAGCACCTAAACCCCTAAACCCTGAACCCCTAAACCCCTAACCCTAAGGAACCCTTATTGTAATCGAATCGAAATCCTACTGCCGCCTTTTATCGGGGCCTTAACAGCTAGAATTGGGTTTTGGTGCCCATTATACTTTCCTTACAATAAGCCCCCCCCAAAAAACAAAATATGAAAGTAATATCGTAATATAGGTAATAAAAAAATGGCTTCTGCAGTAGCCGTCATTGACCCCAAGGCGCCGGCTGAAGACCAAGGCACCTCCGACGAAGGCTCTCTCCGGGTTTAGGGGTTTGGGAACGGTTTGGGGGGTTTAGGGTTTTAGGGTTTGGGGTTTAGGAGTTTTGGGTTTAGGGTTTGGGGTTTAGGAGTTTGCGATTTAAGGGTTTTGGGGTTTGGGGGTTTGGGGTTTAGGGGTTTTGGGTTTAGGGTTTGGGGTCTGGGGGTTTAAGGAACCGGGTTGGGGTTTGGGGTTTAGTGGTTCAGATTTTAGGGCTTCGAGGGCTTATAGGCTTTTCATGCTTTAGGCATTTAGGGTTTGGTGGGGAGCGGATGCCGGTTGGTGAAGGATTGATGTTTCTGGTTAAAGGGTTTAGGGTTTGGTGGTGTCGGGCCATTGCAACGAGAGAGAAATAGAGAGAGCGAGAGAGTGTGATATATGTATATGTATATATATATATGTATATATGTATGTATGTATATATAGAAAAATAGAGCGAGCACGAATGAAAGAGAGAGAGAGAGAGAGAAAGCGAGAGAGTACGGAGCAGTATAGGTATGTAGCGAAGCACTGTGTTGGCTGCTCTTCGACTAAACAGACTGTTATCGTTCTAGCACAGCTGAGTGCTTCAGGCTTCGGTTTGGGTTTGGGATTTAGAGTTTGGCACGAACTTTCTCATCGAACGTGAGCAGCTTCTTGTTTGAGTCGTTTAGTCATGGTTATGATCGCGGCATTAGGGCTAGGGAAGGGAGGCTAGGACTAGGATACAGAGGCCAACATTAGAAGAGCTTCAGGGCTTGGTGGCTTAGGCTGGGTTCTGGACTGCCATACTTGAATGTTGTTTTTGTTGACCCGTTCCTCAAACCTATGAAATATAAGTCTATACTTTTGTCCCCCTGGTTACTTCAAAGTCCAGTGGGGTGTCCTGAACTGAGAGTAGGTTCGCGGAATCCTAAACCTGCCGTTCTGGTGAAGGGGGGTCAATTGGCAAAGGAACCCTATGTCGCTGATTTTGTATGTTTAGATGAGATTTCCGGGTTTATAAAAGCCTTCTCATGTCAAGGGTGGGTTTCCCTAGAGCCTCTTGGGCGCCATGAGGAATACATCGCACACACGAACTGGAGCGACGAGGAACGAAAGGAGCGAAATCAATTGCTGCCTGGCGGAGGGTGTCGGATGTTCAAAGAGTCGAGGATAGGATTCAGGGTTTTGAATTAGGTTAGCCCTATATAAATATGCTTCAGGATGTTTTACTTTCTGGATTTCGACCCAGTGTTTGGCCTTTTTAGAAGCCGACAGAAGTAACAATTCGGTTAAGCTTGGGACTAGTGCTTAGGCCTGGGATTTTGGTGTTTAGTGCTTGGGATTCAGGATTTGGGGTTGACGATTAAGGGCTTAGGGTTTGATCCCGAGCCCTGAACAAAAGCCGCACTACCTGAGAATCCAGAGAAACACTATGTCCTATCTGCTTACTGTCTTCTTTCTCTCATCGGCCAACCTACACCCCCAACCCCCACCCTGAGTTTGAAAGATCGCCAAAGTGTCTGGGTAATGGGTAGATTTTTTCTTTGAGGAACCTTTGAATTCGCAGCGTTTTCAAAATCTTTTCAATCTTCAAATCAATTTCGCTGCTTGGGGAAATGTGACTACAAATAGATCTTATTAAGAACTTTTTCGGTGTTTAGTAAAGTTCTTTAGTGCTTAAAATCAGGTTCGCTCAAAAACAAATCCTGGCTCGATCAGAGGAGTCGAGAACTGTTTACAAAGCCTCCTTAAATTGCTATTGCCGGGGATATGATGACAGGTTGCTATAGCGGTCTAGCTGAGTCTGTATCCGTCTGTGTACTGATGTTTGTCTGACTCTCTGCCCGCATGTCTGTCTGCCCACTAACTACACACATGACTCGCTTATGCTATCAGTCATGGACTTATGTGTGTTGCCCTACCTGTGTCCCAGCTGTTTACTGTTCGGTTTGCTCTACGCTACAGGCCAACACCCTAAACTCTAAACCCTCAACTCTCAACCCTCATCTCAGGCTAAGCAAGCACTTTCGCTCGCTACCAGATGCACCGAGAACTCCCAGGCCAGCATTCTGCAGTTTGGAGTCTTATCGGCATGTACGTATGATGCTTTAGGGTTTAGGAGCATGTGGGCTCAAGCTTGAACCTTAGTTCTCCACCCTTCAACCTTAAGGGCATGGGGCTTGAGGCTTACGCAGCCTTAAACCCTAAACCTAAACGACATGATGTTAATGATGGTGATTGTCGATGGCGACTAAGGTACTCATTTTATGCAGGAGTGAAACGACGACGATGATGATGTTGGCAAGTCTGGTTCTCATGTTGAACGCAATGACGACGATTGTAATTGCTGCAGATGGCCGCATTGATGATGGTCATGATGCTGTCGATGGTGATATGACCGAGGGGCTGACGGTTGAGCTCGTGGTGATTGTGCCCGCGTTGATAGTAGACGCTGAAGGATTCCAGACATGAAAACCTACGGCTGAGATAGACTCCCACGCATGGTTCGCATGGTTCTGCGAAATTCCAGTGCATGCCCGGGTGGGCACCCGTGGCCATAACCCCTTGAGGACTGCTTGAACCTTTGACATGTTGATAGTGTCAAAGGTCTGCTTGGTTTAGGCGTCTGGCCAAAGTCCAAAAACGGATCTTAGGGCAGCGAAAAACTAGACCCTAAACCCTAAACCCTATAAACCCCTAAACCCTAAACCCTATAAACCCTAAACCCAACCCCTAACCCGTGTTCTTCCGAGAAATGCCATGAGGTACTGCGGAAGCAAGGAAGTTAGACTGGAGACCCCGAGCCCCTGAGCGCTAAACCCTGTACCCAGATCCCCGTAGCGTTGTAGAGCCCTTAATGATAGGAATGCCTCGCAAACCCTGGAAACTTAAACAGAAACCCTAAAAACCCTGAAACTTAAACAGAAACCCCAAAAGCCCTGAAACTTAAACAGCAGCCCTAAAATCCATGCACTTGGCCACCTTGCGTCAGGTCCGCTTGGCTTGTCTTCTGCTCTGAGTTTTTTGTCAAGACCCTCTGCCGAACAAGTTACCGCAAGAGAGAGCAATGTATGCCGTAAGTAAGGCTTACTTCATCTATGTGTGTGGATATATGCATGAACATAAACAGACATGGTTGTATGAAGTGTTTTATGGGGTTGAGGAGGTGCTTCAGGCTTGTATGGTTTTGTGTAGGTTTAGGACCTGTCGACAGGATGTTGATTGAGGGATGTACCTGGCAATGTGGAGGCATAGCAATTGTACTTCAGGTAGATTATCTATACTAGGATGCCCAGTAGTACCCTTATTCCCTTTTTGTAGTCCTAGGTTCCTTATGAACTTACCCAATACCAAAAAGAGAGGCCTTTTTATTCTTAGGTTACTGGGTATCCTAGTCTAATTGGCTGTTCCGGTATAGGCTTCTTGTTGGGGATCGCGGCTTCAGATTTGCTTTCATGTGCTCGAAAGGTTTTGGTTACCGTCAAGATGCTTGAACTTGATAAATGTGCTTCGTCTGTTTGTAGGCATGAAAAAGTTAGCAGATACCATTTCCATTTTCTAACCATGCCCACCCCCCTAGGCCACCCAAAGACCCAAAACCATAACAACCTATACCTCAACCCTAACATCACCCAAGACCCATAGGTAGAACCCTAGGAAAGACCCACCTGAAGACCCAAAACCAGAACAACCTATACCCCAATGCCCACATGATGGAACCACTAAAAGACCCATACACCACCACATAGAAAAACTTCAACCTCGACCCCATCCACCCGCACCCCCATAGAAAAACCCATATTCCCCAACCCGAACTCCCTAATGTTGAAAATGGAAATGGTATTCTCTATCAAAATATCTATAATAGGAACAATAAGGTTTAGGAATAAGGTTGAGCAAACAACATCAACTACTTGTCCACATGGTCGTCTTGCCGTATCAAGCACGCCTCATGTTTTCCAGCCTTCAACTCTCAATCGTTGTGGTGCTTACCATATTCTCCCAGACATCACGACGGCAAGGCGGTTTTATTCTGCCAGTCAGCGCCGGCTACAAGCACGTTGAGGTGCTGTGTCAGTCGCGTTTCACTCTGCCACCGCTTCAACGTGTTGGATGCCTGTCCAGAATCATACACAGACGGACTCAGACTGCCACATCCCCACCACACTACGGGAAGTTTCGAGTTTCCTGCAGCCATTATAGCAATGGTGTCGAGAGGAAAGGAGGTTTGATAACCTGCGGTGCACGCACCGGACATGGGGTTCGTCACTTACCCGCAGGATTGGGACCAGTTTTGGCAGTCGCAGCTGGCAGTGGTCATACTTGTGCAGTGCGGGCAGATGGTCGGCTCATCTGTTTTGGAAAGAATCGAGATGGGCAGTGTGATGTGCCAGCAGATTTGGGACCAATTTTGGCAGTCGCAGCTGGCTACTATCATACCTGTGCAGTGCGGGCAGATGGTCGGCTCATCTGTTTTGGAAAGAATCGAGATGGGCAGTGTGATGTGCCAGCAGATTTGGGACCAGTTTTGGCAGTCGCAGCTGGCCCCTACCATACCTGTGCAGTACGGGCAGATGGTCGGCTCATCTGTTTTGGATGGAATCAAGAAGGGCAGTGTGATGCGCCAGCAGATTTGGGACCAGTTTTGACAGTCACAGCTGGCAGTGGTCATACTTGTGCAGTGCGGGCAGATGGTCGGCTCATCTGTTTTGGAAGGAATCAAGATGGGCAGTGTGATGTGCGAGCAGATTTGGGACCAATTTTGGCAGTCGCAGCAGCTGGCTACTATCATACCTGTGCAGTGCGGGCAGATGGTCAGCTCATCTGTTTTGGAAGGAATCATGATGGGCAGTGTGATGTGCCAGCAGATTTGGGACCAGTTTTGGCAGTCGCAGCTGGCCCCTACCATACCTGTGCAGTACGGGCAGATGGTCGGCTCGTCTGTTTTGGAAGGAAGCAAGATGGCCAGTGTGATGTGCCAGCAGATTTGGGACCAATTTTGGCAGTCGCAGCTGGCTACTATCATACCTGCGCAGTGCGGTCAGATGGTCGGCTCATCTGTTTTGGATGGAATCGAGATGGGCAGTGTGATGTGCCAGCAGATTTGGGACCAGTCTCGGCAGTCGCAGCTGGCTTCGAACATACGTGAGCAGTGTGAGCAAATTGGTTCTGGACACAACAAGTGGGCAGTATAATGTAGCCAACCGCTAACCATGCAGAAAAAGCGATACTGAGTGCCAAGGTGACCTTAGCCTGTTTTAACTATTCACTAATTCCCTTATGGTAATCCTTGTAGACCCCTCTAAAGAAACCCCATTCTAATAGTTATGGCCCCTTATAAGCCCCATAATGTAGAAGCCTAAATAATTATCAATATTATGGTTAGGGTGCCCTATTATATTTATAGTGTAATGGGCCCCAAAAACCCTATTCCAATTATAATGGCCCCTTATTATAAGCCCCATAATTCACAGTAGCTTTCACCGGCATGGCCAGGCCCTTGACCCGCGAGCCCTAGCCCGGAAACAGAAGTCGGAACGGCAATAGGGTTTAGGGTTTAGGGGTTTAGGGGTTAGGGTTTAGGGCGCAGGGCTTGAACTCGTACGAGCACCAGCGTCGGGATAACGGTCCCAACCCCTTCAGGCCTGCAGCAACTCAAAACGCAAATGCAGCCGAACATTACCTTCAACCCTAGGGTTTAGGGTTTAGGGTTCAGCTTCAACTCTATAATGATTTTGACCTAACTTATTTTCAATACTTTCTATTGTATAAATATTCTGTGACCAGTTGCTCACCCTTTCTTTTTAATTTGGTTTTCGTTTCCTAAATATTTTAACCTCGTCTCCTACATCTAGTTCTGGATATACGCTGTTTTTCCCCTTCATCGTTAATTTAGTTTCGCTTTGAATTGATTACTAGGTTTTCGGGCTTCTTTTGGCGTAAATCCCGTTGCCGAGTGCTTCATTTGATTGTTATAGGTTGCGAACGGACTGCGATGCCTTGTCAAGTTCTAAGGTGTCACTATAAGAGCTGTGAGCAAGACCGTGTAAAGTGCAAGAGAAGGGGGCACGCTACGCGTCCCTCGACTCTAAGGGGGCATGCTACGCATCCCTCATCTTTACCTTTCTATGTGACCGCCAACGCAACGTTTGGCTCAAGTCAATGCCCATAGCTAAGTGCTATATGTGTCTTCTATCCTGAGCAATCAGAGCTATCCCGTTGCACAGACGAACCGCCGCCGGCAGTGAGTGCAAAAGGAACGGCCGCCGGTTCTGCCTGCATAGGATTGCACGTGTGGAAGTAAGAGGGAGAGACAGGGTCCAGTCTGTGGAGAGTGCAAGCCAGCCACACCTACATTCATTACAGCTCTGGTGGGGAGAGCAGCAACCAAGTCGAGATCAATCCCCCACGCAGGTTATCAGCCGTACGCGGCTCTGCCTTTCTACAGCAACGACTACTTGATCTACTACGACCACAATGAACTCAGGATCAAGCCAAGATACGACAATGACTTTCGGTGCCGATGTGGCAGCGCCAGCCGTTGGTGAGTCAACAGCTGATGACACAGTGGTGCAATCCGTTGATAGCTCCACGGAAGATGACAAAGGTCAATCTTCTGCGCTTGCCATTGCAAAGGCAGTTCCCAAGGGGAAAGCAAAGAGTCTACCAAGAGCATCTACGCCTTCGCGTCCGACATCCACAGGTTCGAGGACGGGCAAGGCTTCAGAACGACGGGCCGAAGCGTCTGGTTTTCAGGCACCTCGGACTACGTCCAGGGCCAAGGACAAAGGAGTCAAGACCTTGGAAAAGAAGTCAAGACCATCATCTTCGAGAAGCTCTTCAGCACGATCGAGGACTTCGGCTACTCGTGGGCGTGACAAGTCCATGACGTGGAATCGGATGGTTACCAATCAACCACGCGATGCTGACGATCTGGATATGACTCTGGATACGATTCCTGCACGTGGTGATGCGTCGTCCGTGGCCACGCCTGCCATAGCTGATGGTCCGAACGCTTATCAGGAGCTGACGATTTCGCAACAGTTCGAAGCATCGAACCTTGCACAGCAGATGTACTATCGCAGTCAGGTGCAAGAATACGAAGGAATCGTCCAGACCCTGATGGACAAGATCAAGGAGATGCAACAAGAAGATGAAGGATCTGGAATTCGCATTGAAGAATTGGAACGACAACGTGACCATGCATGCTTAGCCATGAGGCACATCAACAATGTCAATCAGGAGATGAAGCGAGACTATGAAACAGCTTTGTTTCGCATGGATGAACAGAACTCTGCTCAACAACGTCAAGCACATGCCGTTGCCGAGGAGTTAGCTCAACAGCTACACGTGTTCCGCACGGAGGCAGCCACTAACTTTGTGCAGTTGGAGGCAAGAGCGCAAGGCGATGGTGAGCTTATGGCACGTGAGTATGAGCGTCTGACTCATGAACTTCATGAACACGCCAGAGAGAACTTGGTCCTCCGGTCAAACACAGCAAGTTCGGAACAAGCCTTACAAGCAATGCAGGAACGATTCCACTTGGTCAAGAACCAGGAGTTGCGGGCTGTGAACGAGATCCAAGGGCTAGCTGGAAACAGCGCAGCCATTGATCAAGAACGATTTCGGCTTCGCGAACGTCTTGGTGAAGAGGAAGAGTACCGCAAAATGGCTGTGAAGAGGATGCAAGAAGCAGAGGACCGACTTCATCAGAATGAAGATCATGCAAGGCGATCATTGCCTACCTTGCACGACGAGCTGAGTGAACTCAGGAAAACGCTCAAAGCACAAGAAGATCTTCAAGCGAGGACACGCAGCGAATTGGAGGCAGCGCGGAACTCCAACTATGGTGGAGCGACGCGGCCTTCGAGCATGCCCATGTCTTCGAGGACTACTGAGTCTGGCTGGGAGCACGTAGGAAAGGAAGTAGTGCCTGCATTTTCCGTAGGAGGTGAGGTACGATCCCCTGAAATACGGTCCCCAAGTCAAGTTAGTCCAGTCGCCAAAGAGAAGTTCGCATTCTCGGAATCGGACAAGGACAAGAACCTTGTGATGGATGGAATTCCATTCACCGGTGGAAACTTCTTCACTGGCCGCAGTTCAATGCCAATCGTGGCGGATGCAATGCCCGAGCACTACGTGCCAGGTATTAGCAGCCCAGCACTTGCGCGTTCCACGCCTAGTGCAGCCACTTTGTTCGGCATACCAAGCGGATTTCATGGGAAAAGTGATGCGGCAGCCGTGCGTGATCGACAGCTACGCGAACTCTTGGAGGATCGCGGGATGTTGGGATCGAAGTCCACAGCATCTGCCAGCTCCTCAAGACCTGTTGGTATCGACGGTGTTACCGCATCTACGAAGGGCAACGACCTCATCGGTCCCCCTATTGCCTATGACGATTCCATTCATGAAGCAAGGAGACGTCAGATCGAGAAAGAGGTCGCGGAACGGTACGAGGAGAAGATTGCCGATCTGCGAAGCGAAGTACTCAAGGCCCAGAAAGCCGAACAACGTCTCAGAGCTGATCGTGATGAGTGGAAGTTATTCGCTGAAACGATTCAGGAGGATAATGGAGACGATGACGGTGACGAGGCTGGCGACGAGAACGAAGATGGAGAGCACGATGAAGGAACCGGCACGGGGTATGACCCTCCTGACCCGCCTGACGATGATGATGATAAGAAGAAAAGCGGTGGAGGCAAACCTGAATCGGATCCTGGCTCGCATGCGCGTGATCCTGATGGAGACGCGGATCCTGAAGTCACAGAGGTGAGAATTTCCAGGAGGGAAGCCGACAAAGTGACCGTTCCTCCATGGCCTACTCTCACTCATCTCAACAACTGGCGATCCGTGTGCACGGCCAATGTCTTAGGGGCATCAGCCGACCCACATCATGAGGACTGGATGTTATGGCTGGCACCAGCGTTCAACCCATTCCCTGATGTCGAAGCATTGAATGATTCAGGACACAAGAAGTTCAAGAGCATAGACGTCAAATTGGGGATCGCCATGGTCGCAATGCTACGTGCCGGTGGTGACAAATCAGCTGACCTGTACCTTGAGGTGAACCGGAAGGCTAACGATTACATCAGCAGGCCCGACGGGAAGATCATCAAAGGACGACAAATCATTGCGATGATGTATGAAAGTTTTCGAACGCACGATCGTCTCGACATGATCATCACTCTTGAGTATTTGGTGAAGCTCCAGTACCAAGGCGACAACAAGCTTCATACGTTCAAGCAGACGTGGTTGGAAGTTCTGGGACGGATGAGACCAGAGGACATTCCATCCAAAACAGCTCTCCGTGATTGCTTGTACAGCAAGATCAAGGACTCGCCCGCAATGAAGATGGAGTTGGGCATGCATTACGAACACTTGCCCTACAATCATGAAGACCGATCGTACGACAACCTGATGAAGATCATTGATCGTACTATCATGCGGAGACGAGAACAGTCAAATCTCACTCAGACCCAAATTGGCTTGCGCCAGATGCTTGAGGGCAAGGATTTGCTTGCTGCACCGGCCAAGGTACCCGAGAAACCAACGCCTAACGCAGCTCCATCCGCAAAGGTCAAGGCTTCGCCGACCAAGCCGGATAAAGCAACACCTGTACTACCTCAAAGCAAAGCGAAGAGTCATGCGAAGACCAAGCCAAAGCCCAAGAAGAAGACGAGGAGTGAGTCAGCGGACAACAGAGGTGACAAAAGCAAGAAGCAAATCCGCTGCAAGTTCCATTTCACAGATGCAGGGTGTCGAAATGGTGATAAGTGTCCATTCAGTCACTCGAAGAAGACTCCAGAGCGACCCTTCACGCCGAGGACGAGAACTCCAAGTCCATCTGGAGGAGGAGGAAACAGGATATGCTACTCGTTCAAGAACACAGGCTCGTGCTCAAGAGAGAATTGTCCTTTCAAGCATGAGGCAGCAGCTACCCCAGCTCCGGAACCAAAGGCAAAAGCTAAAGCTAAATCCGAAGCGAAGGCAGCTCCAGCGAAGCCGAATGCCAAGGCCAAGGCACTCCCTGCGGCACCCGCCATCAGATTGTGTCGAAGGTGGAATCCATCAGCTCCGGCTATATGGAAGCGATCTTCAAGACAAGATGAGGAGGAGTCAGATTGTCCATCCGTTGACAGCGACGCTGATTCGGATTGTTCAACAGATGACGAATCCTCGGGAACGACTACGTCGA